AAATATGTAGTCTGATGTATCTTTTAAATTAGGACCAAGGGGTCTTTGTTTTGCAGGGTTCAATCTTGTCATTTGTCAAATATTTACAACCTCAATTATTAAACAATTTTTAATTGAGGTGATATTCAAGGAATTCAAGATTAAAATTTGCTCATCTCCTAAGAAGGAAGCATTTTATTTAAAATGTTTAAACGTCAAGTGACTTAAAATGTTCACGCATAAGAAGTACGAAAGAAAAACAAGTTCAAACAAGATGATATACTTGATAATGCAACAAAATTCCTAATGGATGCCCTATATGACTCTCGATCAGAATGCCCCATTACATATTGAAAGTGAATGCCCCTAAATCGATCAGATCTTGGACCTTACGTCTCAATGCCCCACAATTCTCAATGGTGTGCCCTGAGCTCCCAATATGATAGCTGCATACGGCGTTAATATCATGACCTTCAGGATATGGGGCCTCTCTAGGTTTGGATTGAACTAGAGTCACAAGATTTTTCTCAACTAGCGTTGGGAGTAACTCCTCATATGTCATTGGGATTGTACTGATGCAAATCTTTTCTTTCCTTGGTTCTCTCTGAGTTTGTTTAGAAGTACTAGAATGTACAACTGCAACAGTTTTTGGACTTGAGACCGTAACACCTTTGTTGGCGTTGTAGGTACTGACATTGTTGATATCTCCCTCAATTTTTCCTTGTTTTATAGCTAGTTCGATCATCTCACCAGCCATAACTAGATCTGAGAAAGTTCCCAATGTAATTGCCACCAGGTACCCGAAGTAAGGTGCCTTCATGGTCTGTAAAAACAGCTTTTTTAGTTTCATTTTCATCCAAGGGTGGATGAACTTGGACAGACAAATCCCTCCAACGTTGTGCGTATTGTCGGAAACTTTCATTGTGCTTTTTCTCCAGGCTTTGTAGCATAACCCGGTCTGGTCTCATCGTTGATATGCTTATTGTTCTAGGAAAGACTTGGCTAAGTCTTTCCATGTCTTGATGTGAGTTTGGCTGAGCTGATTATACCAGCGGATAGCTGAACCGGATAGGCTCTCCTGAAAGCAGTGGATCAGGAGTTGATCATTCCCTTCATATCCTGTCATCTTCCGACAGAACATAGTGATATGGGCTGATGGGCAGCTGTTCCCATCGAACTTCTCAAACTCAAGAGCTTTAAACTTTGGTGGAAGCACCAAATATGGAACCAGGCTTAGCTCCCTTGCGTCCACTCTATAATAATCATGGTCCCCTTGGACTATCTTCATTCGATCTTCTATCATCCTGATCTTCTCTTCCATCCTTTTTGCTTTGTCATCTTCATTAAAATTCGGGATACTGTAATCATCCGGATGATTATCAGGATTAGTTTTGGAAGTTTGCACCTTTACAGCAGATGGTGCTTTTCCTTTGACAGCAGAAGAATTTTCTTGTGGTCTGGGTAAGATCTCGGGTGACATAATCACCTGTGAGGTTGGTGACATGGTTACCCCTTCGAAGGGACTTCCCCCTTCTGCACTAACTTGCTGTAAACATGATAACTTGGCCACTATTTGGTCGACCAAGGATTCCTGGTTTTTCTTGATGGATTCCAGAGTGCTCTGACTGTTTTGAGCCATTTTATCTTCCAGTTCTTTTTGTAGTCTTGCCATGTTCTCCTCGAGTTTTTCCATTCTGGCCTCCATTTGTCTTTTCTTTGCTCGGGTATTATGCGGATGGTGCGTATTTAATGCATGTAGTGGTAGACTTGATGTTTTCTTTTTCTCTTTCTGAGACATGTTCTGTTTGTTAATACGAATGTAAAAACATGGAAAATATAGAAATAAACATGAGATATAGAATGCAAAATATGCAATGCATGATGTATGCAACTTAGAGGCACTGATCCAGAAAAAGTGTTCATTATTATAAATAATCTTTATTCAGACAAAAATATCTTATCTTGTAAGAGACATAAAAACAATCAAAGGTACACTCGGCTTAAATCCTCTAAACCCCAAATAGCTTCTAGTAGATTGACAAGTCTTCTGCCTTCATCCGTTACTGGTTGAATACCTTGTCGAACCACTCCGGCTTCCCTTGCCAGGCTATGAAGATGACGGGCTGCCTTCTGTACTTGATCTAGGAAGTCTCGGATGGCTGCGTCTCTGGCCAATGTACTCTTGAAAGGCTGACTTTTGGTGTGCTTAACGTAGACTCGCCCTAGTTTGATGTTTTCACAGTGTAGCAGTGTGGTGTATTCTTCGATAGTAGGTACCATGTCCTCCCAGTTAAAAGTGAAACAATTGTATCCCGGGTTTCAGAATTGGACCATGGCTCTAATCAATGGCTCATCAATCCTAACGTGAAGTAAAAGTGCAATGTCACCGTACCGTTGGCTGAACTTCTGTTTCCGATCATTCTTCCAACTGTCTCAGATATCTCGAAGCTCCTGCACATTGTTCTGTTTTAGGCTGATAGATGCGTAGCTAACCAGCTCTGACACATAGCTTTCTTGAAGGTTGTCTCCCTTTTCTTTCTGAGTCTTCTCGGACCATAGTCGTACCTCGGGGTTCTTAGTCTCTTGTATTACAACACCTTTGTCCATTAATTCATATTATTTTGTGTAATAAACACCTTTTCAGGGATCAGTAACCTCTTGTTATGATGCAAAATGCTATAAAACAAACACAAAGGCAAAAATGTTAGTAAAATAATAATATAAAAATAAATAAGTAAAATACACAAAAACAACAGGGTTAAAAAAATGTCATAGGTTTCGGAATGTGGTTTCGAGGTAGGCTTAATTTCTCCATAGTCTCCTGGGTTAGGTTCTAAAAAACGGTACCCGAGTTCTCCTTGCTGGTGCCCCCTTGGGCCTACCAGACCTTTAGTCCTAAACCCATCACAGGCTTGTGTGGACTAAGTTAAACTCGAGAGGACACATTCCCTTATGCCCATACGGAGAATAAATTCACACGAAGGCATAAGGTATATGAATCCTGAATGTTACTTTCTAGGCCCATACGATGAATAATTCACACGAAGGGTCGCTTTCACCCCCACTTAAACGGGTTCGGAGCTCGGGTATAGATTTGGATGAAAACTTTAAGGGCTGAAATCAAAAAACGGTCAGTACAACTATTACTCGAAAATATAATCAAAAGTAAGTAAAGGATCAAAATGTTACCTTAAAATTTAAACTTACCCTTTTCGTTAAAAAGACAACTGGAAATTACCTTAGCCTGACTCACTTACCTGTGTCCCCAGTGGAGTCGCCAAGCTGTCGCAACCGTCTTTCGGTAGGGCCCCGGAATTGGGCTTCGACTTAGAAAAATGTGGATTGGAGTCGCCACCGATCATTTATTTAAAATAAATGGGTTGATCGGATACCCTATTTCTTACCTGATCTGCGCTTACCAGAAATATGTCGGGATCAGGAGTCGGTTACGGTCAAGGAAGGATAGCACCTTGAACCGCCCTTTCGGTACTACGTAATTTCCAGTTGTCTTAATTAAGAAAAATAACAAGTTAAATTAAAAGGTAAAGTTTCGATCCTAATTACTTACCTTGATTAATTTGAAAATATCCTTTAAAAAAATCGAGAAATGTGTTAGATAAATAAGGTAAAGAAAATAAATATAAATAAGTAATATTTATATATAGTAAGATAAACAAGGGAAAAATAAAATAAATAAAATAAATAAGTAAGATAAGAAAAAAAAATAGTAAAGTAATAATATATATAGTAATTTTGAAAAAAAGGAAATATATATATATATCAAAGTATTAATAAATAAAAGTATATATACACCAAATACTTAAAAATAGAAAAGCTACCTCCCAATTCATCGAAAATGGGGGGCTTTAGTAAGAAATAAGACAAAAACATGGGCCCTCTAGGTAGTAGTATAATATAATGTTTAATAATATAATATAAAGACACAAGGTTTTTTTAAAAAAAAAAATAATATAATAATGAATAAAAAAAACGAAAATAATAAAAATAATATAAAGTTATAAAGTTATAAGATATATTACATAAAAAAGAAATAATCAAATAAAAATAATTAAGAATATATATATTAATAATAGGTATATAAATAAATTATTAAAGTATAAAAATATATACGACTAGATAAAGATATACAATATATATAGTAATATTAGATTTATAAGTAAAATATTAAGGAATATATATATATAATAATAAAATATAGTAAAAAAATAAATGAAAATAATTTAATATATATATATATACATATAATAATAATAACATGAATAATAAAAATAAATGAATAAATATCCATATAATAAATAAATGGACTAATATAGATTTTTAAAAAGTTCTTCCCCCCTTAACCGAAAATCAAACCAGTTTTTAAAAAAGCCTCGGGGTATATCTAGGTTCGAAACTTCGAAACCCACCCATTTTGGTCATCGGCGCAACCCACGTTTTGGGTTATTCGAACCAAATCTCAAGAAAAATAACGTTACACATGCAAAAGAAAGAAAAAAAGAAAATGCTACCTTTTATTTCCTTTTCGAATCCTTTACAATAGTTTTGCCTTTGTATCTTCCCGTGCTTTCCTCTATGTTTTGGTGTAAATCGTGTGTTACAATGGTGAGTTACAATGGCTATTTATAGTGCTTGTGGATACTATCTTTAGGAATTAAATTTAGTAGAACTCTATCCTATTTTTAGGAGTTTGAATCCTAGACGAAAATGTGTGTTGACACCATATTCTATGTTCCCAAACGAAAAGATTTCTTCTTATTTCAGTTGACTAGATCCACTCCCCATTACGAATACGGCCAAACTCCGCGACTTTGCCATTTTTATTTATTGCCAACCCAAAGATTCTCGGGAATGACGCTTTTAACGAAGGAACCTATGTAGAGGTTGCACCGTACTCACTCCAAATGGGACGGAGATGGATATAATTTTAGTGCGTAATGGACGAGTGTGAATTTAGAAAGTGGTACCCGTCGCGGGTAGTGAGCAGGTTATGGGTTTGAGACCTTATCTGCCCTGCATCTGCCCGCCTTGCATCGGTTCGCCCTGCATCCGTCCGCCCACTAAATACCTATTAAATTTTGAATCATTATAAATTTAAGTATAATTTTAGAGTTTGTCATTTATGTGTGCCAAAGAACAAAAATATTATGAGTTTGTCATTTATGTTTCTAGGCTTTAATTATGTATTTTATTATGGTATTTTATGTACTTTAAGATCTATGTTAACACTTAATTCAGATAATCCTTGGTTTATTTTATTGTTTCTTAATAGACGTGTTTGTTTATGTTGTTGCTTAGTATAACTTAAGGTTGGTCAGAGGGTCTAACCGGATATATCTCCAGTTGGATAGTGGGTTTGGGGATAAATTTGAGAATGTACCCGTGTGAGCGGGTGTAGATTTAAAAAATTTTATCCATCATAGGTGGTGGACGGATGGTGGATTTCAAAATATTAGGAGATATGAAGATGGAAGAGGGTACCTGCACCTTATCTGTCCGTTTTCCATCCCTAAACCACCGTCCAACACCATTCCAAAAATCGATGACATTTTCGTTCCCCAAAACCCATCTTAACTTTCCTATAAAATGGTCCACCTTATATAACGGAGATGAAATATTCCTCCACACCCAAGGCCTTCTTCAGGAACTAACGACATCTGACCCAACCCGTATTTGGCTACCAAAACCTTTCGCCACATACTATACGCTTCTGACCAAATCTCCATAACTACTTATTTAGTAATGCTCGATTTTTCACCCTCACATCCACAATACTCAAATTGCCATGATCCTTTGGCTTGCACGCATTGCCGCCATGATCCTTTTTATTTGATTCTGTTACCGATTAAAAAATAAATAAATAATCCAATTTCGAGAAATTTAATTAAATCGGTGGCTGAACCGATTGTTTGTAAACACCATAGGAATTAGTAAACAATCTTCTAGATATTGTAACAGAGCTATCAAGCTAATGTTCAACCGAATTGACATTATTACAACTTTAAGATGATTAGATGTTATGACGAGCAATAGCAAGAAGAGATCCACATCAACAGTAATGCGCCGAAGGACCAGGACCCACCAGTGAGTAGCATTGCACCAACTACTAGACGCAGAGGAATTCGATAGAAATGCCACCTAAAGCGTTAACTGATTTTGTCTATTTGTAATGGTCAATAGGCTGTAAATAATTGTTTCTTATTTTTCGCAGAGGCATGTAAACCCTGAGAATATTCTCCTTCCTCTGAAATCTATCTTTTTCCTTCTTCTGCTAAATTCTAATTCCACGCTCAATTTGTTCATAACAAATTGGTGCTCTCGTTGAGAAACTGAGCTATGGTAAACAACACAGAGGCAATCAAAACTCTCCAGGATACTTTCTCTCGCCATGAAAAAGCGTTGGCAGATATTCAAACCATTGTGGCAAAAAACCAGAGTGCTTCGAGGCAAAGGGAAACTTAAGGATGATCTCGATGATGGGTTTCCTTTTTCTTCAAAACCAATTTCATGTCGAGCTTCCCTCTTCACGGGCCAAGACCCAGAAGAATGGACCGCATCAACCCATGATTTCTTTGATTTTCAGTACTGAAGATCACCATTGGGTGATGATGACATCATTTCGCATGGATGGGGTTGCCAAAGAAGTGGTTCCGGTGGATGCAACGCCAATGAGTTAGCTGGATGGGATCACCTGATTGAAGAGATCTGCAAAAGGTTTGTGGTGACTGAAATTGAGTCACCGGAAGGTCACTCACAAAACACTCAGACTACAGCGATGGCAGAATATAAGACCGTTTGAGGATTTGGTTTTGTGTACGACTAATCTTCCTGAGGTTTTCTTAACTCAATGCTTTATTCGGGTCTCCGATCAGAAATAAAGAATGAGGTTCTATCCATCGGGTCAACTCTATGAGTGAGGCAATGATTAGCTCGTTTCCACGAGGACAAATTGAATGAATGAACGGCTAAGGGTCGCTGTGGGGCCAAATCATCACCACTTCTGCCCAATCCTCCAATAACCTACTAATCCACACAACATGCCTGGCCGATACCACCCATTGATCAATCGCCCAAAGCTCTTCATCCTTTTCCCCAACACGTAAAATTAGCCACAAAGCTCAAGCTTAGCGTGCCAAAGGGTTATGTTATTATTGTGATGCCAAGTTTGTTCAGGCCATCATTGTAAGCCATCATTAGCAAGGATCCACAATTTGTTCTTATTGGATGTTGTCGATGATAACCAATCAGGTGGGGCTGGTGAAGAACCCGACAGCGACGAGAGAGACGTGGAGATCGGGAACACTCCTTGGTGTCCCTTAATGCTTTGGCGGGTTTTTATACCCCAAACACCTTGTACATCACTGGAGATGTTCAGGGTTGATCTGTGCGAATTCTGATTGACGGTGGAAGCTCACAATTTTGTGCAATCTAACGTGGCTCTTCATTTAGGGCTCCATGTTACGGGTACACGAATTTTAGGGTATTAGTGGGAAACGGGAGAAGCTACAAACTGAAGGTGCATCAGAAATTTTGCAGGTTCGAGTTCAGAACACTGTTTTAACTACAGATTTTTACGTTTTACCTCTTGAAGGCACTGAAATGGTTTTGGGTGTGACATGGTTGGCTACTTTGGCAAGGGAACACCGATATGGGACTTCAACCGGTGCAAATTCAAACTTTGCGACGAATGAAGAATAGGGATGTTGTGGCTTGTTTCTACCAATTACAGATGGGAAGTATCACAGAACAGATTAAGGGTGGGGAGCAAGCTGATATGGGACAATTGCTTCGGGGATTCGCAGGTGTCTTCGAGTCTACGGGCAGTTTACCACCACCGAGAGAGACCGACCAATTCCCTTAGATCCAAATGTGAAACCAGTAAACTTGCGTCCTTACCGGTATCCTCATTTTCAAAAAAAGGAGATTGAACGGCAGGTTCGTCAAATGCTTGAGAGCTAACTGATCCAGAAGAGTCATAGTATTTTCTCATCTTCGGTGCTTTTAGAAAGAAAAAAAAAAGACGGATTGTGGCGATTTTGTCGATTATCGAGCATTGAACTCTATCACAATCAAAGACAATTTTTTTATTCCTACTGCAGATGAGTTATTTGATGAATTGGGTGGTTCTCAATTTTTTATTAAGTTGGATTTGCTGGCAGGTTATCATCAGATTCGAGTGCAGCTGGACGATGTGCACAAAGCGGCCTTTCGCACTCACGACAGCCACTACGAGTTCCATGTTATGCCGTTTGGCTTAACGAACGCACCGTCCACCTTCTAGGCAATCATGAATGACATTTTTCGGCCATTTTTTTGCAAGTTTGTCCTCGTATTCCTCGACGACATTCTTGTCTTAGTAGTGATTGGCCTACTCATTTGGAACATGTAAAGAGGGTCTTGGAAGTGCTATAGGAACATGGTTTTATGGCCAAGATATCTAAATGTATGTTTGGGCAGCCGTCGATTGAATATCTAGGCCATGTAGTATCCAAGGATGGGTTACGATACAAGCTTGGCCTACACCGACTAATGTGAAAGAAATATGGGGATTTCTCGGACTCGCAAGGTACTATCGACAGTTTATCAAAGGTTTTGCAACCTTGGTTGCCCCCTTAACAGATTTGCTGCGAAAAGGGTAGCACTTCGAATGGACTACCGAGGCACAAGAAGCTTTCGAGTTGCTTAAAGCGAAGCTGTGTTCAACTTCAATGTTAGCCCTGCCCAATTTTTCCAAGGAATTAGTAGTGGAAACCCATGCCTCCGGATTGGGAATAGGGGCAGTTTTGACACAAGATAAACGACCTTTGGCTTATTACAGTAAAAAATTGGGTCCGAAAATGCAATGGGCCACTACTTACCATAGGGAGATGTACGCCATTACCCAAGCCGTTTGCAAATGGAGACAGTATCTACTAGGCAGACATTTCGTGATCCTAACTGACTAAAAATCGCTACGAGAACTGACTCAACAGACCATACAAACTCCAGAACAGCAAAAATGCCTCTCCAAACTGATTAGGTACGATTTTGAGATACGCTACCGGCCCGGGAGGTTAAATGTAGTGGCAGATGCGTTATCAAGAGAAGTCGGCACTAGTTTGATGGCTTTTTCTCGACCCTTGTTTGGAATCCTTGATGATGTCTTTCTGACAACGGATAAGGATCCGGAAGTAAACTAAGGATCGGGTAATTGCTGTATAAGAGGAACAACCTAAGTATACAGTGCAAGAAGGGTTACTGTTGTACAATGGCAGAATCATGGTGCCCAAGGAAGCTGCCTTACGCGCGATGTATTAGGATGAGAAAGGAAAGCAAAGATTTCAGAAAATGTATATTGATGAACATACTGATTGCAATACACGAGCTCTGTTTTTATACAACACAAGTGATCCAGCTTAACAGAAGCTCAACCGCTTCCTAACTGCCTAACCTCTCAACAGTTTCCTAACCGCCTAACTTCCTCTGAACGGCTACTGCCAGCATGGCACATCAATGTGGAAAGAAGACTTCATACAGCTAACATTCTCCCTGCTCATTCTCGTCTTCAGAATTAGACTTGTTGAACACATATTTTGGATCGAAACTCTTCAAATGCAGTCCTGGCCAGTGGCTTGGTGAAGCCATCTGCTATTTGATGCATGGCTGGGACGTAGCTGACGTTTAGCTGATCTGCTGCTACTTTCTCACGCACAAAGTGAACATCAAGATCGACGTGTTTGGACTGAGCATGGTATACCGGGTTCGCGCTCATGGCCCAGCGCTGGTGTGTCACCAGATTACTGGCTTGTGACTCTGATGAATGCCAAGGTCAGACAGTAAAGCTTGAACCCATGTTATGTCAGCTGCTGTGTCTGCTACACTCTTGTATTCAGCCTCCATCGTGGACCCGAGACTGTTCTTTGTTTTTTGAGCACCAGTAATGAGGCACTTGCCAAGGAATACCCCATATCCAGTATAGATCGCCTGTCATCGATGCTGGCACCCCAATCAGCATCAGCAAAGACAGTTATATCTAAGCTATTTCCAGCACGTGAGAATGAAAGTCCAAAGTTAAGTGTTGCTGATAGGTATCACAATATTCTTTTCACAGCCACGAAGTGAGTTTCTTGTGCATGCATATGTTGGGCACTTGTCTACACCGAATGAAATGTCAGTCTTGTGGCAAATGTATAGTAATGAGCCCACTATGTCTGTATTCGCTGGCATTCTGAATCAATTCACCCTCTTCATGAGAGAGTTTAGGAGATACAACCATGGGTGTAGCACTTGCTGGCATTACTTTTTTTGACTCAGAACAACTGAGTTGTTGCGATGTTTTACTTCAATACCTAGAAAGAAGCTTAGCACTCCTAGGTCCTTTAGTGAGAACCGACTTTGCAGCATTGAAACAACGTTCTCTATAGCACTGGAATTTTGTCCTGTAATGACTATATCGTCCACGTAAACGAGTGCATATATAGTTGCCATCATTTGTTGAATAAACAACGACGAGTCTGACGGGACACTAAACCCCATTTGCATCAGTTTTCAAGTTTGGCATGCCAGTTGCGGGTGCCTGTCGAAGCCCATAAAGAGCCTTCTTGAGTTTACACACTAGAGGTCGGTTGCACTCGTCTTCTTGTTCGAAACCAGGAGGTTGTTGCATGAACACCTCCTCGGACAGATCTCCGTTGAGGAAGGCATTATTGATGTCAATATGCCGAAGTCCCAACCATTCGAGACTGCTACAGCTAAACTGTATTGAATGTTGAAAACCGAACTACAGGACTGAAGGTGTCCTTGAAGTCCTGGCCTGGAACTTGTGAGAAGCCTTTTGC